TGGTGTGTGGGTGGGAGGTGGCGGGAGGTGCAGGGGGGCCCAGCCACCTGCCGCGCGGCGCGGGCGGGAGGGTGTGCTTTCTGCAGAGGATCACACCGGACTCTCCTCTGCCGCGGCCAGCGGGCCGAGCTCCTGACCCTGAACCGTGCGAGGGCGAGCTTTTCAGGGGCTCGGCATGGAGAAGGGTGCAGAGCCTTTGTTGGTGACGACGTGAAGACGTGGATTTTGCTTTGCCGGGAGAGCTCTGTACTCTCAAGGCCTTGTGGTTGGTGATGTCTGTTTCAGCTGCCGCGTTCTGTAGATTAGGGATTTCATAGGCGGTGACAAAGGCCGTGACTACGGTGGAATTAGCCAGGGAATTTGGAGTGTCTGGAGCTCCAGTGGCCTCTCTGTGAGAAGCTTTAAGCTGGAAAGATGCAACACGGCCCTGTAGTCCTTTTTACCCTCCGCCAGTGCGGTGGGATGAGGTAGCCTGTGGTTTCAGAATAAGGGACTACTAAAACGACAGGTCATAATGGTCCTGGAAAACAGCTATGGTTTCGTTGTATTCTGGGAAAAGAACAGATGCACCTCTGTGATAAAGTATTTAGGAATGATTTTTGGGTAGTGAGATCTTACTACTACTACTACTACTACTACTACTAATTATTTATTTTATTATTTTGCAACGTTAAATCACTCATTGTTGACCACTAACACAGGCACTTCCCTTGACAGGGCTCTTAGAGAAGAGGAAAGGAGAGGGGAGAGGTGCTAGTGATGTAGGATAGGATGTAAAGGAAAATTCTCCAATGGAGTATAAAGGTACAGGTTTGAAATAGTCTGTGAGTTATATCCACATTAACTAAAATGTTTTAAGTGATATCTGTGGAATTAGAATAATGAGTACTTTTCACTGCTCCCATGTTCTTTTCTTTCTTCACGCATCTAAACACAGGCTCCCACCAAACCCAAGGGGAATCATATGAGTTTCTGTTGTTTTTTTCCCTTGTTTAAACTGGTCAATTTTCTTTCCCTTCCTCCTAGCCGGGGTACTGATGAAGAGGTATTAGACTCCAGATTTTCTGAAATACATTCTGGAGCGGTCCATACCATTTGAATTTATTGGGATGCATTGTTTGTGTTTTAAAAGTTGATAAAAAATATTTGACTTAAGAATATTAAAATTACCTGGTGTTTCCATTATGGAAGTTACTGATGTAAATATGCCTGAGTACCACCACTTTCTAAGGAGCAGCTATGAATACTTAGACATATTTTTGCTGGGAGGATAAGTCTAAGCAGGTCTGGGTAGTACTAATTCTTAGACCTCCTGACTAATTTTGGCATGGATTTAAAAGGACAAGTAAACTGCCCTTTTGACCTGCTTCCAGCAGTCAAGAGCAGTTTAACACAAAGCCCGAGTGCACTCTCCTGCCAGAGATTGTGCCTTCCTTCTCCAGAAAGGAAGTTCTGAGGTGTTTAAACCATTGAGGGTTTGTAAAATGCAGCGTAAAATTGGCATAGAGATCTGGTGGCAGTATGCGTGGCTTTTCTTCACACACCCCTTTTGTTTTTCAATCAAGTACAGTACATACTTCAGAAGTTTACTACAAACTAAATGTGTTTATTTGTCCTGCCTGTTGCTTTTCACATGAGATTTCCTACTTTCAGGATGTGGGCTTTCACCAGCGATTTTAGGTAGAATTTCTATGCCTCTCACTTACTTTCTATGCCTTTGCTGAGAATCCCCTCCATCCACCTCCTCCCAGGCCGCAGTAAGGGTTGTTAAACTAGGGGCCAACTTTTTCACTAGTTAGAGTTCTGTGACAGATGATCAGATTAGCTAGTAAAAGCATTGAGGAAGAGGAAGATGGAGTAGGCCTGGTTACACAAATCAATTTGAAAATGATAAAAAAGGAAAGTACTTTCAGTTTATTTAATGACAATATGTAGAATATATAGGGTTGTGTGTGTGTGTGTGTGTGTATTTTTAAAAAATTCATGTGATTAAAGTAAATTTGTGAGCTATACATTTTCCTTTTGATTGGGAAATAAAAAGGAATTTGGAGCCCTAACCAGTTTGGCTTGGTGGATAGAGCGTCGGCCTGTGGACTGAAGGGTCCCAGGTTCGATTCCGGTCAAGGGCATGTGCCTTGGTTGTGGGCACATCCCCAGTAGGGGGTGTGCAGGAGGCAGCTGATGGATGTTTCTCTCTCATTGATGTTTCTAACTCTCTATCCCTTTCCTTTCCTCTCTGTAAAAAATCAATAAAATATATTTTTTTTAAAAAAAGGAATTTGGAAAACAGTTTGGTCTAAGTGGAAGATTGATTTTTCCTCCTTTTGGTATATAACGATCAATAAAGTTTGTGTTGCTTATATAAATAACATCTGTTATATAGCTGGGTCCAATCAAGTTATTTACCTTTATTTTCTTGCCTCGCATAGTTTTTACATTTTACTTTTGCTAGTAGAATATTATGTATAATTATGTTTTCTGGTGCTCTTAGTCCATTTAATGCTATGACATTTTTGTGTCTTCAAATGGCTTTCATGCAGAATTACTTCTGCCCTTTGATCCTTTTGGTTGACTTTTACTTTCAAAGATTGAATATAAATGTTAAAATGGCTTATAGAAATAAGCTAGCCTTGATTTTCAATTGAAAGATTGACATAATTGACTCCTAAATAACTTTTTTAGTTAGCAGAATCATAAATACATGGTGATTTATAATTGCTGAACTGACAATAAAAATATTTAAGTGTTTTTCAGTTTGCTTTCCACTCTTTTCATTATAAAGAACACTGGTTTAAAAAAAAAAGAAAGAAACACTACTTTTCTTTTAGGCTCTTTTGTGTTTTTTATATCATATGTTCTATTCTCTTGCCTGATAATTGGTACATATTCATTTCCTTGGGCAGCTGGAGAGCTGTTGGCTGATTCCTAGTGTGAAGCAATGGAGGAAACCTCTTGATGTTCAGGGTTAGTTCAAAGTCGTTACTTAGCTTGGGAACACAGGTCCTCTTTGGACTGTTTCCTTGGGAATATGGGGAAGATTAGTATGACTTAGTTATTGCTTATGGGAAAGCGGTTGGAACCACTTCCTATACAACGTTTCCTGCTTGCATAATTGATACTGACCTAGTTATGTACACTAGCTATATGTTTGCCTGACATTTCATCTATGCCAATAGTAGGCCTTAAAGGAAATGCTTCTCTATGACTATTCTGCTTACTCTCTGAGATGCTTGTGCAGATAATAAATGAGGAAGGAGGCCAATTTGATGATTGCTTTTAATATATGTGGGCATAAAGAAAAACCAAAAATTTTTTTGGCTAATCTTCACCCAAGTATATTTTTTCCATTGATTTTTAGAGAGAGGAGAGAGGAGAGAGGAGAGAGAGAGAGAGAGAGAGAGAGAGAGGAGAAGTTGCCTCCCACAGGTGCCTCTGGGGTGGAGATCAAACCTGGTACGTAATCCAGGTACTTTCCCTTGATGGGGAACTGAACCCAAAACCCTTCCTTGCACGGGTAAACGCTCTAACCACTGAGCCCCAGCCAAGGCCCAACTTGCATTTTATTTCATTCTTTAAATCAATTAATAATGTTTTCAGTGGATATTTGTTCCCTGCTGAGAATGCAGCTGTTTAATTTTAATTTTTTTTATATTTGGAAGATAGAGCAAGGGGTGGGGGAACAAGAGTAGCCCATAAAAACTGCAGAAGAACTTTATTCAATATTGTTTGTAATTTCAGAATTCTTGTTCAAAGGAGGTGCATAAGACTGCAAAATGGCCTAAGGCTGAAGATAGCATACATGCTTTCAGACTGAAACCAAAAGAGTACTTTGCTAATATTTGGTGCACTCTTCAAAATGAATGAGTTTGCTTATCAACACACTTAAAGTTTTTACTTTTTTCTAGATGTAATAAAGCTGCTTTGTGAATTATCTGTACCAATAAGTAGTACTTAGTTCTCTTACTTGCTAGGTTGCGTTATAGTTTGACATTTCTCCACAAGTCATCACCTTTATTTGACAGTTATTGTAGCTGAATAAAATATAACCTTCAATGAGAAGCAAAGGAATAAATACCTCTTCTTGTGTAGTGGAATGTGTTACTTCTCTTAGATACTTGATAGCCAGAGATGCTGTCTCCACCTCCTCCAACATTGTCATAAAAGAAGTGAGTTTCAGTCTTTTATACATATCAGCTAAAAGGCCAAGAGGGAATGGCCTTCTAAGTCTTTTATGATAACACTAGAGGCCCAGTGCATGACATTTGTACACTGGCAGGGAGGGGAGTGGGGAGGGAGAGGTTCCCTCAGCCTGGCCTGTGTCCTTTAGCAGTCTCGGAGCCCTCAGGGGGGACATTCTTATCGCTCCCCGGAGGCGGGAGAGGCTCCTGCCACTGCTGCTATGCTTGCCAACCATCAGCCTGGTTTGTGGCTGAGCAGTGCTCCCACTGTGGGAGAGTACTGACCACCAGGGGGCAGCTCCTGTGTTGAGCGTCTGTCCCCTGGTGGTCAGTGCATGTCATAGCAACCAGTCATTCAGCAGTTTGGTCCATTTGCATATTACTCTTTTATTATATAGGATTCATTATTGGGTGGGGGGAGGTGTCTTTATTCTAAATACTATGAAGTCAGAGCTCATGTCTTTCATTGCTTAAATATCTAGGGGTGTTCTTTGGAACTGCATTCTTTCCTTTTACTTCTTTACTCAGCAAAAGGATTAATGGCCCTTCCTATACATAGCTACACTGATTTCCAAAAATTTATTTGAAAATGATTTTTTGAAATTTATAACACATTTTCTTATAGATTCACTCAACTGGGCTTGTTTGTATTGTGTATGTTTGTGCCTTTTGGGGAAATCTATTTTTTTAAACTCTTTTTTTATTGTGAAATTCTTCAAACATACAATTGAGAATAATATAACATCTGCATACTCTCCTTTGGCATTATTAAATCTTAACTTCATGCTATGTTTTCAATTAATAAAATAACAGAACAAAGTACTATGGAGATGGATTTCTGCTTAGAACTTGTTTTGTATGGAAAACTGCCAGAAACAGCTTTTCCTGCTAGGGTGTAGGAATTCCCCCCTGACCATACCCAGGGGAAGTTTTAGGATTAGCTTTGAGTCAGAGTCCAGAAGTGGGGGTGCAGAATAATCATTTCAAAGAAATGTAGTTCAGTCTCTGGTGCTGTCTCCTGCTGTAGTTGCAGGCATGAGCGTAGGTGGGCTCCTGGGGCTGTGTCAGGGGAGAGCCGCAACTGTTAATGTAAATGCACAGATCAGTTGCTCATCACTCAGGGTTGCTGGTCACAAATGCATGCGCCTTGATCCCGAGATCACACACCTTCCCCGGGAGTGTCTACCACAAAGGGAAACTTCAGAACTGGCTGAACACTCCTGTGCCTCTAGGAGTGTTTGCATGAACAGGTGTACATATGTAAAGTTTAGTAAATGGAGAAATCTTGGAACATAACAAAGCTTAGATCCTAAGTGTGTCTTTGCTGAGACTGGGACACTCTTTGGGTACAGAACTATCATAAACATTCGATTAACCAGTTATTTTTTCTTCTCTTATTTCTATCTCTTGTAAGAAACTTTGTTAGTAATATTTATCCCTTTTCTTCAGAGCAATGGAGTTAATAAAGGGAAGAATATTTATTTATACCTGTATTCTATATTCCTGCTACTTAAAGTGTTGGCCTGCTGGACCAGGCAGGCATCACCAGGGAGCTGGTTAGAAACGCAGAATCTTGTGTCCCCATGCATACAGACTGAGTCAGTGCATTTTAATTAGATCCCAAGGTGATTGTAGGGTAAAGCTTGATTCTATATGCTATGTGCACATTGTCAAAATTTTATAGAAGTTAAGCTCCGAATGGGGTAAATAGTGGGTCATTTTTGGTCCGCTATCCTTAGAAGTTGGCTGTTAGGTACCACATTCTTTAATGCCTTAATTTTTGGTAATCTCTAATTATCAGTTATATTCAGAATTGCTGATGGAGTCTCTCTCTCTTTCTTTTCATTTAGTTGCATCATTTTTCTTGAAGACATTCCATTATTGTTCATTGACCTTTCCCTGACTACTGAGTCCTTTGGATTTGAGTTATGTCAACAGCTGCCTTAATTACTTTGGTTAGAAGTGGTGGGAACCAGGTGAGAAGGAGAGTGCTGCTAAGCTCCCGCCTGCTGCAGGATGACCGGCGGGTGACACCCACATGCCACAGCTCCACTTCAGAGCCTAGATGTTCTCGGTTTGACTCAGATGGTAGTGGGCGTCCAGCCACCTGGGATAATTTTGGGATCTGGGATAACCGCATTGATGAGCCAATTCTGCTACCACCCAGCATTAAGTATGGCAAGCCAATACCCAAAATCAGCTTGGAGAAGGTGGGCTGTGCCTCACAGATTGGCAAACGGAAAGAGAATGAAGATAGATTTGACTTTGCTCAGCTGACCGATGAGGTCCTGTATTTTGCGGTTTACGATGGACATGGCGGGCCTGCAGCTGCTGATTTCTGTCAAACCCACATGGAGAAATGCATCATGTAAGTATGGTGACTTTCACTCTTGAACTTGCAGTTTGCCTTTATGTTTAAACTTTAACCTTTTGGCTAAGATGTTCAGGGTTAATATAGTTATTTGAGTGGTTTTATAATTGTTTCATGAACAAGAACTAGCTTAAGCATTCCATTTATTACTGACCACTATTACCATTTCAGAAACATATGTTTTAACAACTCCCTTGGCAATAGCATTGACCATGTTAAATATCAAAAATTCAACAGAACAAATTTCAAATATCTAATTGGCTTTATTGAACGATTCCTGAATCTAGCATCCCATCTGGCAAACAGAAAGGGCCTCCCAGGAACTCAACCAAATGGAAGGCTTTTGTAGGCAGAGGGGAAAAGGGATAAGGAAAGAGCAGATTACTTCTCCCTTTGATTAATGGAAAGAGCCTATGTGGCAGGTTACCTCATTTGTGCCAACCAGAAAATTCCAGACTGACCAGTTGAGATTACTATTCCTGGGAAAGGTTGGAACTGCCATTGATTTAGGTATTATTAAGCCTTGTTTTGGTGATGTGGGTTTAGCACAAGTGACTCCATTTTGGGCCTAGTGTTTCTTTTAACAACCAGAATCCATGGTACTTGATTTGTGATTATTTCAAGTGAATTAACATAAAGTACACAATCTCATGTGTTATAAGAATCTATTGGAAACATTTTACTAGTACATGACACCTGGTGCGTCCATAAATAGTAATTATACTCTCAAGTGGCATGAATAGCTTTGAACACTTGTTGAAAATAGCTTTAGATAATTGGCATTAGTATGGGGAAATGCATTTAATGTGGGTGTTTTGGAGCCCTTGACATAGTTTATTTAATGCAATTAGTATAATGTATTTTTGAGGATCACACTATGCTAGCACCAAAAGAGGGGGAAACGTGACAGAGTTGTGGCTATGACTCTTTCTTGTCTTCCTGTGTATAGTTCATACTGTTCATTAGTTGATTTAAGCATATTTTGCCTTGTTCTGCAGAAGAACTCAGTGACTTAATTTAATAAGGAAGAACTTGACCTTTCAGGGTAGTATGAGAAGTATGAGGCTGCTGCTGGTGTAACATGGTTACTGTTTTACAGAAAACTTACTTCTGATACATAGAGAGAGTACACTCTAAAATAATAAGAAGCATAGAATAGTAAATCCATTAACAGTTGTTTATTATCATTATCAAGTATTATGTACTGTACGTGTTAGTAATTGTAGGTGCAGTAATGATTAATCTTCTAATATGGGAATTTAGACTTTTATTTTAGTGTCCTTAGAGGCTTTATCACTTAGGAGACATTTAAGGAGCACCTGAGAGGCAAGCCATGGGGGTCCATTGTAGGGAGTGACTGCTAGCTAGAAAGACCTGAAGGAGAGGAGATGAGAGGAAGAGGAGACAACTATTGTAAAATGATATTTTGGGGCTCTTTTTTTTTCCCTCTCCACAAAGGGATTTGCTTCCCAAGGAGAAGAACTTGGAAGCTGTGTTGACCTTGGCTTTTCTAGAAATAGATAAAGCCTTTGCGAGTCATGCCCATCTGTCTGCTGATGGTAAGTAACACAATCACATTCCTTAGGGTCCTGGGGGATATCTGGATAAAATGGAAACAATTTAAGCTCTTTAGAGGTGGGAATTTTAATGGAACTTGATTTGTAAAAATGTTTATGTGGAAAATGATTTTATATAAAGAACCACTTTAAATGCTGTTTGGAATTCAAACTAATGATAGTACCTCCCTTTTAAATGAAATATGTATATTGGAGAATTTTTCAGAAATTGAAGCTTCAAAATGGTTCTGATATCGAAATCAATTTTAAAATATTTTTAAAAACTTTTTTATCTGTTTGAACATTTTACGGACAAGATATCCATACTACGAGAGGGTTTATTATTTTTGTTTAGATGAATCTGATGAACAAATAATTGAAATACACTACACAGTAATCTCATCTAGTCAGGACAGTTATTGGTCAGGCAAGGAGAAAATTGCTAATTGGTCCTAGACAGGAAAGGACAATGACTAGCACATACTACTTTATATAATTAGAATGAAGATATTTTTTTCTCTTTCTTCTTAAAAAAACTTGATCTTGGACATTCCTGTTGTAACTAGTGATATTTTGTTTTGTGTTAAACACAAGGTGAATTTAAAATTTTGTGTGCTGCTTGTTCTTAAATATTGAAAGTACGTAAGTGTTTCTGATTTTGACTAAATTTATCAAAACCATTTCAGAAAATGTAGTTAATGTTTTCTAGTTAGCTGGCTCCCATAGTTTTTGCTTATGAAGTTAATCTCGAAAACTTCTGCAACAACCATATAAATGTATGCAGATAGAATGAAAATGAATCATGCAATAATATTAATGTATGTTTGGTTCATCCTTTTGTTTAAAGTGCACCAGAGAAATGTCATTTTCTGTTGGAGTGCCTGCAAATGGCAATCCCTCCCCCCTCCTCCCGCCCTGGTTCCAAGATAAGAAACTGAAACTGAGAGAGAGACAAAGGGCAGTTGCTGGGGTTTTCCTGGTACCCACTGTAGCCTCTCTCCTGAGCATATTTAATGATGAGGATTAGAGAAAATATCTCTAGGATGAC